AGAAGGGTGTGCTCACGAATGTGTGGCACATTCCTAAGCTGTCACGCAACCTCTTCTCGGTTGGTCGCTTCACCAAGGATGTTGGTCCCGTGACGTTCGAGACGGATGGGTGTTTTGCGGAAGCAAAGGGTCTCAACTGGAAGCTCGGCGCGCGTGAAGGCAAAGGGCTGTTCAAGCTGTGCATGACACCAGTTGTGCCCGACGAGGCCAATGCGGCAAGCTCGAAGGATCGCAAAGGGGACACCACATCGTACCTCTGGCATCTTCGACTTGGTCACATTGGCCATGGCGGTCTAGACGCCATCGTCAAAAAGGACTACGGTGCAGGCATCAACATGACGTCGGTGAAACAGTGGGAGCTGTGCGACGGATGTGCACTCGGCAAGCAAACGCGAGTGAGCAACATGTCCAAGTCACCCAACCACGCCAAGAAACTGCTGGAAATCGTTCACAGTGATGTGTGTGGTCCCATGCAGACGTCGACATTCAGTGGCAAACGCTACTTTGTCACGTTCATCGACGAGTACTCGCACTTCTGTGTGGTGTATTTGCTCCGGAACCAGTCAGAAGTGGCCGACAAGTTTGCTGAGTTTGTCGCATTTGCGGAAACACAGACCGGCAAAGTCGTCAAGACGCTTCGTAGTGACAACGGTGGCGAGTACACGTCGGGCGAGATGGCTAAGTTCTGCAAGCGTCGTGGTATCGTGCAGAAGTTTACGCCTCCGTACACGCCCCAACTAAACGGTGTCGCCGAGCGGATGAACCGGACGCTGGTGGAATGTGCGCGCTGCATGTTGGAGCATGCTGGTTTGGCCAAGTCGTATTGGGGTGAAGCGGTAATGACCGCTGCGTTTCTACGTAACCGGTGTCCCACACGTGCCATCAGCCATGACAAGTCACCGCACCAAGTATGGACCGGTAAGAAACCACTGCTGGCGAAGCTGAAGGTGTTCGGTTGCCATGCGTATGTGACGGTTCCGAAGCAGAAACGCACCAAGTTGGACGCTCGAGCAATGAAGTGTCGGTTTCTGGGGTACTCGGAACACGAGAAAGCGTATCGTTTCGAAGAGATCAAGAGCGGTCGTGTGCTAGTAAGCCGCGATGCGCAGTTCATGGAAGACGTCTTCGACGGAGGGAGACGCAGCCACGATGAAGATGACATCGTGGAGCTTCAAGAAGAAGAAGTTACGGATCAAGAAGCATCGTCCGAGGATGAGACGATGGGAGACACTGCGCCGCGTCAAGAATTTGAGCCCGGTAGCAAGCGACACCAGCGAACGCAGTCGTTGGAGGAAGCGGTAGAAATCCCGCGAAGCAAGCGACAGAGTCGGCCGCAGACGCTGGAGGAGATGTCAGCGGTCGCAAGTGGTCGAGAAGAAGATTTCGAAGCGGCCTACGCTGTGGATTCAGTGGGAGAAATACCGACTACGTTCAAGTCGGCGATGGAATCCAGCAACGCGGCCAAGTGGAAGGAGGCGTGCGACTCAGAAGTCGAGTCTCTTCGCAAGAACAAGACATAGTCGTTGGTGCCATTGCCCCAAGGTCGAAAGGCAATCGGTTGTCGTTGGGTGTTTCGCATCAAAGAGAACCAAGCGGAAGAGATCGAGCAGTTCAAGGCACGACTCGTGGCCAAGGGATTTTCGCAGAAGTACGGCATCGACTACGAAGAAACCTTCGCGCCAGTCGCCAAGTTCACGTCGATCAGGATCCTGCTCAGTCTGGCGGCAAAGTACAATCTGACGGTGCACTAGATGGATGTCAAGACGGCGTTCCTAAACGGGCTGCTTGACGAAGATATCTACATGGTGCAACCGGATGGTTACACGGATGAAGAACATCCTGGCCATGTCTGTCATCTCAAGCGTTCACTCTACGGTCTTAAGCAGTCGCCACGAATGTGGAACCAGACCATTGACAAGTTCATGCTGGAGCTGGGGTTCAAGAAGTGTGAAGCCGATCACTGCATCTACGTCAAGTGGGATGACCAAGACATGATCTTCGTGGCTCTATACGTCGATGATCTGGTCCTCGCCAGTAACAACGACGAGCTTCTCAAGTCGACGAAGAAGGCTTTGAGTGAACGCTTCGACATGACGGACTTGGGTCGCCTCAAGTATTTCCTCGGTATGGAGATCGATCAAGATGCGGCTGCAGGAAAAGTGTCGGTGCGTCAGACCAAGTTTGCGAAGGACATCCTGGAGAAGTTTGGCATGGAGAAATGGAGCGGTTTGTGAACAGCCTTACTAAGCGCAGTCTTCATTTCGTCGAGATGACTAAGCTGCCGAGGCTCACAAAGCAAAAAAAGTATTTTTATCACACGACACAAATGGATTTAAGTCAACAAAAATGATTCTCACATTTGCCGACAACAGCAACTTTTGTTTCGTCGTGCAACCATGTTGCCTTTTGTTGCTCTCTAGTAGCTGCGGCCCCAGAGCACCCAGCACTTGGCCGGCTTGCCACTAATGAAGCACTTGGTGTCTGCAGTCACTGGGCTCTCGTCGTTCTTCTTGTAGGGAATGCATAGCGTCTTTGCAGCAGCACTGGTGGCCGTGTTCTCGGCCTCATCCTCCAGACCCATGAGAGCCAGCGACTCCTCGCGCGACTTGGTCTTGACGATCTCCTCCCACTCGATCTCGTCGCAGAATGGAGTCAGAGCCATGCAGCCGTCCTGGAGAGAAGGCACAAAGTCCTTCCAGTCGGTCACTTCGCGGATGTGGCCGTCGCGCTGGGCCGTGGCACGCTCCAGCATTTCCTGCTGGATCTGCTCCAACAGGGCCGGGATACGGGTGGCCAACTCGGCCTCAGGGATGTCCTCCTTGGCTCCGTTGTCACGACGCACCACACGCACCTGTTCAGCGAACCGTTCTGCGCCCACAGCAAATACCTCGTCATCCTCAGCACCGTTGCTCCCTCCCGGCAACGCGATTACACTTGAAACACTTGCCCTTAAAGCTACCACCGTTCTTCCTTGGACTGTTCCCCTTTCGACCGTCACTTCGGCCGCCCTTGAACCGTCCACCGCTACCGCTCACAAGAAACGCTTTCTCCGTCGTCTCCTTCTTTTTGCAACCGTTCGTGCTCCTTCA